CCCCCGCCCGCGCCCCCGCCGGGGGGAGGGGCGCGCGGAGTGGGACTCTTTCCGTTTGGTCCAGCCCCGTCGTGCACGCAGTTCCCAACACTTCTCGTCATCCTCTCTTTGGTCTCTTTATTCTGCTGAGCGGTGCTGTTAGGATTTCTTTTTTCCCCCTGACCACGTTCGCGATGGTGGGTAGCAGCAAGGTGGCCCTGGTAGGGGAGGGGTTGATATCGAGATTGGGCACCGGGGGAAGAATGTCTCGTTTCAACTTTGTCTGTGGCTTGCACCCCCGGAGAAGGCCACACGCCGGTTGTAGGGTGCAGATGTGCTGAGAGTGATTTCTAAGTAGTTGAGTTGTTGAGATGAAGGTACGACTGCTAATGGTAGGCAGGTTTTGTTTTCATTGGTGAATCTGGTGTCATCATATTCGGGGCATATGTTGAAATATTCTTTGTTTAGGTCTTGAAGTAGAGGATCTCACTCTGCACGTCCACATTTTGTTGTTTTTAAATGATGTCTGCAAGTGTGGCTTTCTAGAATTTCAAATGTGAGTTAAGGTCCGGGCGTGTGTGGGCCTCAGCATTGGCCTTGACAGTGAACTTTGTGGCAGTGTTTTGGATTTCAGAGATTTGCCCCATAGCTGGGGTGCGAGCTGTGCATTTTTTGTTAATAGTAGGTGTCAGGAATGTAGATGCTTAAGCTGGGGACATTAAAGAGAGAACATTCCTGTATTAATAATTGATAGCTGAATATTAGAATCAGATTAATTTGGGTTGATGAAAGTTTTTTTTTTTTTTTTCCCCCAAAAGCAGCTGTGCACTCTAGGAAGGAAGCCTTTACATAGGCACACTTTATAGGGGTTCTTTAGGGCAGGGAGCTAGAATATCTCCTTTTAGAGAGGATACTCATCAACATCTCTGGCTTCACTCAGGGCCTGGTAAGGGGACTGAAATTGGGGCTAAGACATCTAAGTGTACTTTTCAGTGCTTATGTTGTTTGTTTACATCTGGTGTTTATCACATTTGGGCACTAGAAATAAATAGGTAAGTTTTTCTTTTGGTTTTTGAAGAGTAGCCCCTTCCCCCCCCCTTTTTTTTAAGTTTCACGATTTACTTGGTTTCACAGCATTATAGGAAACTGTTACTACATTTTTACTGGAAGTACTATTATCATTTTGATTTTGGTAAGTTCCTTTCTATACTTTTTTTCTATCTTCACTTATATATGGAATCTACATTGTGGGCTTAAAACTAGCCTATTAGGGGTTATTTAAAATGTCTGAAAAATACATTTTAAAATATCAGGACATACTTGATGGCAAAGAGGAAATTTTTGTGTGCAGTAATACTCTTGTTTATCAAAAAATTTCTGTACTTAAAACTTCTGTAGATGGACAACTGTTCTTAAAAGGAGCATAGTAATAGTGCAGAAAATTCTCAAAACACAAACTTCTGGCTAATATGTTAAAAATATTCCAGGTGTTTTTCTTTATGTCAGACTTTTGCTTTTGTTAACATAATGGTATTTGCAATATGACTAGCATTGCTTGGCTGGCCGCAATAAAGTTTTTTGCTTGAGTGCTTTTGAAGGCTTTTTAAGGTAGTTTTTAGATAATTTTGCAAGCTTTATTTAAGCATGTTGCACTTTGGACTCAGGCAGGTCTTATGGAACCAGAATAATAATAGATTTTAAAAGACTCCTACCCACACCAGATTTTCTTTTTAAGAGGTATAAGTGATGGACGGGGCCCTATTTCTTTTAGCTTTGAAGGGTCCATCCTTTTTCCCATTCAGTCATCTGGAAGGAGCTGCCTCAGAAATACTCTTCTTCTGTTTACATGAAGAACTCTAAATGCTATCCAGCAGGAGGTGCTACATCAAGATAAAGCAAATCTCTTGAATTTTGAGGGTCTTACTACTTATTACAGCTCTGTTAGCTTCAACTAAGCAACAGGATTAACGCCTTAAAGTTCCAGAAAGATTTTGAGTAAGTCCATTTAAAAGTCCATTAATAAATTACACTTGCTATTTGCAACTGAAATCTTTGATTGCTTTTTACCTGCTTACAATATTACACAAAGTAGATTTGTTATTGTGGATAGCTTAAGAATGCCACGCTTAGGTACAGAGTGCCGTTAGAATTATTTTATTTTGATGAGGAATTAGTCTTGTATTGGTGAGTGGGGTGTGAATGTGCAAATGTGAAAAGATTATGTCCAAGGACTGTAAACAAAAGAAGTTGGTATGATGGGGCTTTAGGTTTTGTGTTATTCCTATAATATTAATACAGATAGGATACAGAGATATGAGATTTTGGAAAGGGAGATACTGTATGGAAAATAATTTCTTGTGTTTTTTTCCTCACATCTATGGACATTGATCCCAATAGGTAAATTCTTAGGCACTTAGCTTTATAAATACGTATGGTTGATGTATTTGAGTTGGCCTCCAAAGACTCAGATTCTTGAACTGTAAGTAAAGTTGTATCTGTGAGTGTAAGTCATTCCTGATATGTCCGTTAGTAACACTTAACAATAACTGCATAAAGATGAAAGTAGTTTCATAGCATTTACAACACATGCTCCTTTGAAACTATGTTAGTGTTAGGTGAATTGATTTATCTCTGGGAATATCATGCTACTTTGGTGGCTTGTAAAGTTTTGTATCAAAGTTTTAGAAACTTAGGAATGTGTAGAAAGTTTGATGAAGCTGCTTTGAATTTTGTCGGTTTTCTAGGCATAATACTGTACTTTTTTCTCAGTAAGATCAAATGAGATAATACATGTGAAAGTTCTTTGTAAATTGTTGGAAGCCATGCAAATGTTGAGATAGGTAACTAATTAATACATGGACAAAAATTTCTGTCTTTAAAATGTTAACGTTCTTCACATCATTTGGGAAATGAGCACATTAAAAGTGTACCCCCAACACTTTATAAATTTTTTTTTAAATGCTACTGTGGTTACCAAAAAGCTCTTTGTTACAGTTTTGAAGCTTTGTTTAAAAAATGCTGTGGAGGCAGTTTCTCATAATTCAAAAAAAAGATCATTTTTCTTTTTGTAGATCCTGTGAACTGTGTATCCCCCATTAAAATTTTTCTTCATTTCTTCATTGATGTGATAGTAGTTGATTTTAGTGAATATTTAAGTTCCTGGATTCTTCTATAGACTCTCATTAACACACAGAGTAACAGATGTCACAGTTAAGGTTTTGAATGTTTTGAGTGATTCTGCTAACTTTCTGAAAAATTCTTACTAAGTAAAGCTTTCAAGCCTGTTTCAAAGTGAAAAAGATTTATATCTGTATGTATTAGTATTAGGTACATATGTATATCATTTTGTTTTTCTCTTTTAGAGAATTGCATGAGGAAATGACTATTCAAATCTAGAGGAGTGCACCGAAATATTTTTGTGTAAAAATAACCCAAAGTTTAAAACTCAGAGCCTTGATTTGTGGCTTTTTAAATAGACTCTGCTCACAAATTTGGACTAAAATAAAATATAGATAATTGGGAGTCCCTGTGTTTATGAGCATATCAAAAGGTCTGGTTTTATATTTTAGAAGCTACTACTCTTTATGAAATAGCCCCTTTAATTGGAAATTAAATATAGAAACTTGTTTCTTTGTGAAGTGAGAAAAACATTTAACTGTTTAAATAAAAATGAAACCTCTCAGGGTAATATTAACTTTTTCATCCTACGAACACTGAATACTAAAGTTGATTTGGGGTTTTTCTTTTCTTGTTTTTTTTTTTGAGGAAATACGGAAGTTAAGGTTATAGTAATGTGCTTTTAAATTTTGTATTCTTGGTATTTTATTGCTGAAAACTTTTGTATTTAATGGCTGTTCAAAGGGAGAAAAGAAAGGGATTAAAGTTCTAGGTCTCTAACCTTTGACAGAATTCCTTTATATGTATATTCAGACCTGATTTCTTGAAATATGTTTGAATCTTCCTGTTAATTTGTGTTGGGAAATATTCATGATTTTTGTTGACTTCTCAGGAACTTTTGTACATGGGCTTTTTTGTAGGCCCTGAGTATTCTTTAGGTGCACAGCAATATATTTTGATCACTTTAACTTTACCAGGTGTGTATTTTTGATGCTTTGAGATTTTTTTTTTTTAAGGAGGTAATACTCTAACACCACTTTAAATTTATTGTAGATAATTACTTTTTAAATAGCATATGTTTTCTTGTTTGTACATACATGTGGCTGTGCTATTTTGTAGGCTTTCCTATAATTCTTGTGTATAAAATTTCTGGAGTTATTTTTTGTGAGAATGTTGAAGCGGACTTTTAAGGGTAACTTTTATATTACTTGTCTGTTCAGTGTTAGACTGAGGTGGTGATGAACTCTTCCACCACATTTAGAGATAATATGTGAGGTTTGGTCAACCTTTGGGTTTTCTACAGCAACTTTCTCACACTAGACACTTGTGTGGCAGTTTGAATACCCCTCCACTTCTCTCCCTCCAATACAATGCAAGGCCTCCCCCTGTTTTTTGAAAAAAAAAAAATAGTGCGCAGGTCTCTGTTGAAGGAAACTATTCTTATCTATATTTTGGAATCATCCATGGAAATGTTTTCTGGTTTTTTAAATAGACAAAAAAGTGAACCGGTAATACGGAGATAGGAAGGGGATGGGGCCTAACAGGTTGGTGATCTAGGCTTTATTTTGACTCTGTTTGTGGGCCTAGGGAACAAAAAATAACTTAAACACAGAAGCCAAAAAGATGGGTTTTGTTTTATTGTTTTGGCTGCATTGAGGATACAAACTGTCAGTACTTGAGGAGAAGGAGCAGCAGAAAGGAATTGATTTTTTTCTGCTGCAGATCCAAGTATTGTTAACCATGTGCGTCTCTGAAGCAGCATACTTACAAATCAAACAGTAGTTGATTCTTTCACTCAATTAACGGTCAAACCCTAGACTGGTTTTTTTTTCAGATTTTAAATAAGTACCAAAAACTTCAGAGTAATGACAATAATTTCCTGATAAAAGTGGGTGATAGTAACCATGGCAACTGCTATCTGGCCTTAATGGCCAGTATGTCGTATTGATGAAGCTTCAGATCCTGTAGTACCCTGTCACTTTTATGGTGAAATGTAGTAACGTGTTGCAGGTGATTTTTAGCTGGATTGTGTTAAATTTGTGTGCCAGCTTATCTTTCCTTGTTAGGAATTTCTTGGACTGTATTCCACAGCATGTTTGTGAAGGTGCTGTTGCCTGAAAATAACCCGCCACCTGTGTTAGGCCTCCTGATGCAGATTGCACTTAGTTCTTTCCCAGCCTCCTTCCTCAGTCTTGCAGAAAATAGGGGTGCGTGTAGAAACTGTATATACATAAATAACAGCTCAGAGTTACCTATTTGGACATGTTATTGATAATTAAAAAAAATTTTTTTTTTTAGAAGAGGTCAGTGGATGAGAGAAAAGAGTCTGGAGTGGGAATATATTTTTTTTCCTAAGTGTTCTTTCTGGAAACGTGTGTGTGTGTGTGAAATGAGGGGTTAGGAGAGGAGGGCACAGGTATTGAGTAAGGGCTTGACAAAAGAGAAACTTAAGTATTATTGTTTTTTGTGTGTGTGATGGTGTTATGTGTCCCTCTTACAATAAGAATATTTTTCCTAGTGGACATTATTAGAGTATGGGAAATGTTTTTGAATGAGAATTTTCTGCAAGAAAAATTATTTATAGAATATAACTTGAAAGACTGTTAAGAGAAAACCTGGTAAAACAATTAAAACTTTCTTGGGGGAGGGGAATAGAGAACTTTGAAACTGATCAACCAGACTTTTTAAAAAATGGCTTTAAAACTGATGTTTTTAAAAATAATTTAAAAATTGTATAAAATCTTTTTGCTTTTTAAACATTTCTTTTGTATGCTTAGCCTGTTTAAGGTTTTTCTAATGTGAAAATGTTGATGTAAATATTCATTGATACTTTTTCCAATACGTGCTAAAGAAACTGCCAGAGCAGAGAGCAGACAAGTTAGATCTGAATTTCAGTAGGCCCTGATAATAAGATCTAGTCAAATTGTGCTTAGATAGTTCAGACTTTCTTAAAACTTACTGTGATAGGGTGAAGTGGTTTACTTACTACAAGTCCCAGGATGCATTTCGGGTTTTTGCTTCACTCCGGATTAGAGCATTGCATGCTGGGACCTGTAGTTGATTTAAACAGCACAGAGAACCCTTCCCTCTTGTCTACTCCATTTTATACAAACAGCTTCCCAAGCCTCTAAGAACTTTCTGCTAAGTACAATTTGATTGCTAATATTATGATTATCATGGTGCTGATATTTTAAAGTGAGTTTTCAGAAACACCCTAGTGTTTTAGTTTACCTTGGATTAGTTTGGTTTTTTTTATCAGCTACTTTAAGATTTACATGTAAAATAACTGATACATGTGTATGTGTGTTTGTGTTTATATATTTAAAACTTAGCTTAGCAATTGTAAATTTTTTTGTCTGTGCTGCTATAGATCACTTTATAATTACAGCATACAGATTACTAACACGGGCTTTAGGAGCTTATTATTGTAGGGCCTGATACATATGCTGTTCTCTTTTCTTTGAATGGGGCCAGTTATTCAGTGCCCATATTTAAGTTTAGAGGTTATATAAAAATTATTTTGTAGTAATTGTCAACATCTTGAATCTTAGTATTTTCTTTTTTTTTTTTTTTTAAAGATTTTATTTATTTATTTGAGACAGAGAGAATGAGATACAGAGAGCATGAGAGGGAGGAGGGTCAGAGGGAGAAGCAGACTCCCTGCCGAGCAGGGAGCCCGATGCGGGACTCGATCCCGGGACTCCAGGATCATGACCTGAGCCGAAGGCAGTCGCTTAACCAACTGAGCCACCCAGGCGCCCGAATCTTAGTATTTTCTAAATGGAAGACAGATTCCTGAAAATAAATGTGATTTCAATGTAAATTTAATACTCATATGGATGTAATCTGAAAGATAGAGGAAACGAAATGGTTTCTTT